ATATGTAATTAATACGATTTAATGGCAGATCTATTATTTAATTAATAGACAGTTAAATTAAATAATAGTTCTTAAATTCAAATTTTCGTAATTTGTTAATTACGAGGAGTTGTGATTGTAAGATACAAATTACATATGTTGAATCTTAAGTTGTCTGTGGTCGTAAGTAATAACGAGATATGGATATCATTATTACGGATAGACCATTACGTGTGACATTTCTTACTTGAGGTGTTGTGACACTTACATAAACACGTTAATGTTTTGTTATCAAACAAAATATCGGAGACCCGTCGAGAGATTCCACATAGATAACTATTTGAGTGTCAGTGGTTAATCTCTGACATTCGGTAGTGGGATTTTGACTTGAGGTCGTTATAGTACGTTATATGAGGATAATCATGCTTTGACAGTGTTGGATGTTGCTCTGCCAATAACCGCTAATACGATATCGTTCAGATATATCAAGAATCATATGAAGGTTGTGAATGACCAATAGAGAATTCGACACTCTTAGATAGTAAGAGATTATGATTTGCGTTTCATTCAATTAAATCGATAACGAAATCATTGGCCAAGGTGTACTCATAAGTCGAAAAGGAGTTTTCGATTTATATTGACTTAATAGTAGAGTGAAAGATATGATCGATAATCGAGATTGACATACTTCCATATCTCGAATTGATCGGATCATATTGACGAAGGGATTATAATTTCACGGTAAATGAACGAGTTTGATTTTGTCATACCACATGACATTTTTCGTTATATGTATTACTCTGACACATTGCTAGATGTCAATTTGGGACGGCGAATGTGATTGGTGATAAATTAAAAGGGTGTTTTAATTTATCAATTTTGATTATATCAAAATAATATTTCACGTTGTTAGGTGTCGTGATCGGGAATCTAATGGATCGCACACAAAAGGAGGACTAGAAGATTGTGATTTGTCAATTAATTAATTTAACAAGTGTTGGATAAATTAATTAATTGAGTTGCTTATTTAACAAGGATTTTCAAAATTAAAGAAAATTCATTATTTTTGCTAACACAAGAAGAAAGCATTAATCCTACAATCTTGATCTCTGTGTGGATCATCGTTGGAGACTGGACAATTAGACAGTTGTGGGTGATAGATCCAAGTTGTTGGAACAAAGATATGACAAAAGAGTTTGCAAATCTTGTAACAGGTACATCTTTATTACAGTTTCTATCTAAACACAAAGACGATTCTTGTAGGAATCGAAAATTATTTTAATTTTTCACTGCGCATATTAAGTAGATTCCAAACAGTGATTTCATAGGTAAATTTAAAATAATCCAACTTTCTAACCGTTCACACTTATAGAAAAATTATACAGATGTTTTACAGAATACATACAACAGTGGGGCCATCCCAATAAAATATTCACATGGGGTCCACACCTATGTGACTACACTATAGAAGATCTATGAAATATTCCATGTACACAGGGTATTCTCCATCATCAAAATTTCACTATTTAAAATCTTTTAACCCAACAATGGGGTTCAAATGAGGACTAAAACTCATACTGACTTTTGTTATGAGCATGCCTCTATTCCCTTCACACGAGTATTATTTTTAAGGATTTTGCTATTTGTACACCGAGATTGACAGACCTCCTCATGCGAGGGGGCTCACAGATTTGGGGTGTCAACTCCAATGTATACTTAGCAAAGCCATATTTTCAACCAAGAGTTGTAAATTACCTTTCCTCCAACTCTATGGAAGTGAACGGTATAGTTTGATTCCTTTAAAATTTTTAATGATTTTGATTTTTAGAATCGAGAATCATTTAGTTTTGGTTTCGATTCCGATGTGACCTTGTACATATAGCTTAAAATTTTTAAATTATTTTTTAATATATGAAGCCAATTTCTTTATTTTTCTTTTTTACAAATTACACAACAACAATGTATGTTTAAAATTAAAATTAAGGGAAAATTGCAACAGTGGACCCTCATCTTTTTATTTTTTTTACAGACTTTACCCTAACCTTTATTTTGTACAAATGAGAGTCCCTAACCTTTCATAAATATGATCTGAGGTCCATTTAGAAGGAAACTATCTAAAATATCGTTAGTTGACTGGAAAAATTCCTTGAGCTATTTGCTTCCGCGACGATTTAATTGGATGTTGATACTTATTTGCACGGTATTTTGGACAATTTTATTGGATGTTGATTTCTTAATTTTTTCGATCAACTGATGGTGTTTTAGTTGATTTTTCATTTAGATAGACCTCAGGTGCATATTTATGAAAGGTTAAGAATCTTCGCTAGCACAAAATGAAGGTTAGGGTAAAGTTTGCAAAAAATAAAAAGGTTAGGGACCATTGCTGTAATTTTCTCTATAATTAATTTTTTTTTTATTTTGAATGTTTTTATCAAGTTTGAATTTACTCCAAATAGAGACTTAGTGGCAAAATTATCTTTTGAGTGTTCGGGTGACTATATCATACATAACTGGATTTAAAAATTATGTATTGATTTGTTTGTTAGTTTTGTTGTGTTATTATTATTATTATTTTCCAAACAAAAAAGATAATCGTAAGTTGTAACCACTTTGATCCCCAATTGAAGTGTACAAATAACAATTTTAACAATTTCCTACGTTGGACGTAGGATTTTTTTGGAATTTACTGCATGGAACACGAGTAATTTATCTATTAATTAAACACACTTTATGTTCGTAAGCATTCTTAATTTACAACCACGTGTACTAAATAATCCCCTGCCGTGATTTATTGTTCTTAATTAATTGACACGTTTCTCATTCATCACATCTTGAATATTTTTAAACAATAAAATATTTAAAGTTTATAAAGTAGAAATTGAGCAATTGAATAAATTTCAAAAAATAATTTTTTGAATAATGTGTGTTTAAATTGTTAATTTTGAATTTACTATTATATTATTTTAATAAAAAAATGTGTAATTGTTCTTCAGGTAAAGGAGGAAACTGTGCACTGAAAACGGTGGCAACTTTAATAAAAACTGAGCCGCTCGTACATAAGACGTTTGTTGGGATCAACAAACCAATCATCAGCAATTGAATTAACGCATTGAAAATCACATACTGCACTAGTTAATTGTGATTTTTTTTTTTTAAACCAAATCTCTATTTTAGAATACATTTTAAACCAAAATTAAATTTTAAACATGAGCTTATATTTGTTTTCAAAATAAGTAATAGTTTATACCATTTTCAGGCTTAGCTAAACGTTCTCCAAACGTCTGTTTGATTAATATATATGTACTCATAAACTTTGACAAAATGGGTTACACACACTCATAAAAAATGCGGACTCTACATGAATTCAAAAATGCCGGCTGTGTGGTCCCCACCCCTATTGTGAGTGTAAGTAAAATTTTTTGTACAAAAGTGTGAATACATGTAACATTATCCTTTAGCAATGGAGTCCTCATCAATCACCATCGTTTTCCCAATTAAAAAAGAGCAATCGCAATTATTTTTAATTGACAATAAGAAATTCCAATTCCGCGTAATGTTTTGCAATTTTAGTTGGTTGAAACTCCTGAGTAGGGGTGGACGCAGACATTTGAAATTAGAGAACACGAGCAAACTTACAAAAAAATTGTGAAGAAATTTTCACTTGAAAATTTACATCCAAAAAAATATAACTTATGTAATTTTATATCCAAAAATTTACATAGGTAATAACCTTTTTGGATGTAAAATTTCAAAAAATAAAAAAAATAAAAAAAATTGATGTCATATCCCGTGTAAATTTTTTTAATAAAATGATGTAAATTACATAGAAAATTTGTATCGCAAAAAATAATAATAATTGAAATTTTTAAAGAAAATATGAGTTATACATCTTTTTAAGAAATACATTTGATGCATCTTTAACTGTTTTTGATACCTATTTGGACTATTTGGTATGCCTATGATGCAGTTCTCAAAATGAGTTTCAAGATTACATATATGATTTGTGGATTCGGCTAGTGTACGATCATCGAAATTTTTTTAAAGTCACGTTGTTATTGAAAATCTCGAAATACTTTTGGAATGACCTATATTGACAAGTTGTGGCATTTACTACCATTGGCCGGTTCAAGCACCATTAACAACATAGGAAATTATGCTGTTAGCACTTCGAAATGATATTAAGAATGCAATATTTTAATTTCATTTGACATTTCATAATGATTTTGAAAATTGAGATAAAAACATAAAAATTAAAATTAAAAAATATATAATAAATGTGACTCCATGCCCACCCTTGTGTCCACCTCTACTCGTGAGACACTGGAGTACAAGTCCATGTCCATGCAATTGGTAGTTTTCTCAATTAAATCGTCAAGAGAAAAAACTTTTTCGAAATTATCCTAATTTATGTTTGATCTGTCTATGTTACATTGAAAATAACTTTTATTCACACAACAAGCACAAGAC